AAAATGTCAAAACTTCAAAAGGGCAGCTTTCGGCGCTTCTGATGACAGCGCTCAGTTCTTAGCGCGAAGAAGAAAGACCTTTTCTGTTTATGTTTTCCTGTAGAAAAGCGCAAAATTCGAATAAACCGTACACGCCTATTTACGGTTGACATGATCTGACTTGTAGACGAAAGCAAAAAAGTTCTGCCCTGTTCAGAAAAAAACTTCGTGAGTTTTGCACATTCGTTTTCAGCTCGCAAAGTAACAGAAAACCGACACCATCTTGTACTTAGCTTTATAACAAATTAGTTGTGGATCTGGTTTGCGTTTTTTTTTTCTTTTGCCATCAGAATTCTCCATATGGTGGAACCTCGATTTAACGAATCTCTATTTAACAAAGTCCTGGGTTTAACGAAGTCATGGGTATAACGAATGGTATTCTTTGCTCTGGTGATAGTAAAATATATGGAAAAGAACTCCGGCTGTGATGTAACGAAAACTCGATATAGCGAACATATTTTGAGGGTTCCTTGGCCCTTCGTTATATCGAGATTCCACAGTATTGTGAAACTTTAGAAACGTGGGTATGTTTAAAACACGAAATGGCGAAATGACGAATTGGGACTACGAGTACTGAAGCGTCAATGTGGTTGTGATACAGGTGTCTGTGAGGATAACACTGTTATTGACAGCTAACCACTATCGAGACAGTGATATTTAGGCTAACCAGAGCGCTATTTAGGCTAACCGTAGTGCCTTTTCACCATTTTGCTATTCCGTCTTTTAAACACGCTCTAGAATTGTCGGAACCTTTCTCTGATTAGCTCTTCGCAAGTGACGTCAATAACAAGTTAATTCAAAGCGTGGGTCCACATGTTAAGCGCGTGACATGCCGTGAGCCCAAGACGTTTAATAATCGCTTTCTAAAACCGTGGAACATGACCGCACTGCACTCCGCGATATGCTGTTCTTGCGTTAGAAATTAGTAAGACACATTGGGCTACCAAAAGCACCTTCTACCGCCCATAGCATTGGAATTATTAAGGATTAATAAAGCGTGTTTGCTACTTACTATAGTCCAAGATAACAATTTCAAAGTAAAGATCCAAGAACTTTTCTCGCTCTACAAATAGGAATTCAAACTTCCTTTGCAGCAAACCGCTTGATTCATTTCAAAACACTGCCTTCTCAGCTAACCATTTTGAGTTAAAAAAAAACCTTAAGGTAGAAATCTAGTTAACAACATGTTCCGCCTGTCATAACGCGGAATTCTTCGCGCCTTCCGCCATGTAAGTGAATGAAAGCAACAAAGTTGCGAACCACAGCAAGCACTCTATTCGTATTCAACATTTCCAACAAACGTTAATTAAAAAAACTATAAAGGAAAACTGGTTGCCCCAAATTTCCAGAATTGGCTCGGAGAACAGGACAACTATGCTAAGAGAACAATAATATTGTTATTCGGTCAGGTACGTACAGAACACGCGCCTAACCACGCTGTTTTATTTAACCGGAAAACATGCTCGAATAAGTGGATAACGGCCTCAAATAATTCAGTTTCAACAAAGTTTATTTTCAACTTATTCTTTAAATGTTTAAGAAGTGGATGCTTAAAGTCTTCGCTAATGTTACTGATTCCCAATTTTTGCACCATGAAATCTTAGGTTAAAGATGCCGTTTTGTAGTTTTTGAAGAGTGTAAGATGTTCTTCAGAATCACTTTGAGTTATAATTATGCATTTTCCAGACGGAAGTTTTCATTATCGCATCAATCGGGTAATTTGAGAATAGTCGACAAATGTGTTAAGAGTGAAATTAAACTATTTTGGACTTTTTTTGCGTGGGATTCTACTCAAAACACCCTCACTGTAACCTGAGCCTCTTAGCCAAATGCTCCAAACTAGAGCAATTTTAAAGGCCGTTGATCAAAATCCCCAGTCAAAATCATACTTTCTTAGTTCTGGAAAGTTAGTGCAAACAGTCCTTCATATCTTGAACATTACAAAACTCAATACAATGCTAGATATCAGCTACTTTATCAGCAAAACTACACAGGAACTAGTTATAAATAGGAATAAAATGGTGTGCAGAATAAATTTGATGAAGGAATGACATTAATAATAAATGATGCGGAACGTAACTAGTTTCCTTCTTTGGCTACTTAATTATGCGTGAAATGAGGACATGCCTGTGAAAATCCTATTTAAGGGGACAACAGACGGGCAGCAAATAGGGTGCACTAGCTAGTTGTGAGCGCTTTTAAAAGTCTGGTAAAAACACAAGCTCAAAAGAAATAAGTCATGGAGATTGTTAAGGTAACACTGTTTTTTGGCTGTTGATGACAAACTGAATGACGATAAATGTACCAACTGTTTTAGCTTTAACAAATATCTTTTTAACTTTTCCAAGCAATAAGGAGGTTATGTATTAAGTAATTGATTCAGATCAATTGCGTTGGAAAACATTTTACAACTAAATTTACACTAAATGTCTCCGGTTTAGTGAGTAGGTCCAAAAAAATCATTAAAGTCTGAAATATAAGATTTTTTCCTAATTTACAAGTAACTGTTTGGTTCCAGGTCCAAGAATACCAAATCTCCTTGCAGGGCGTCATAGATTTCCTCCAATGAGAGTTCTGAGAATTTGGTTTTAGATCAACACGATTTCATTTACTTGATGATTTTCTCAATTCTCATCTCCTGTTTACTTGAAAATATATTGAGCTTGTAAAGAGAAGTTACGAATCGATCTTGGTAATTAAGAGACAGTTAATCTCACGGTGTTGTTTTTTTATTTTCAACACTTGACTACTTAACAGTGTATTGATCTTGTAAAGAGAGGTTAGGTGTTGATCATCAACACCTAATGATGATCTTTCTTGTTGATTAATTAACAGTTAATCTAACAGTGTTGTTTTTTCGGCTCGCAGGTTATTGCAGTTATTCTTGCTGTTTTTCTTCACCACGGAAATGGCCGAGCTATCACATCAACCAGCAACGACAACATTGAAAGAATGCTTGATTTAGCTGAGGAAGAATTAAACACAGTCTTGAATGAGACAAACGAGAATCTAACTGGACGAGAAGAGAATTCAGCTGATGTCCTTAGATTATCAAAAACAGATTCATCAGGCCATAAAGCTATACAGTTTCAGTTCAGTGACGATGTCAGCGGTAAATCTATCATCAAAGGCTCTGATAAAGTGATCCTAGCGATGGAAGCCAGTCATGTTTGGCCACATAAGAGACAGCCTCTTGATGACGAACCTGAATGTTACACTGGCGTCTACAAGACGATAACCCTGAAGCATGCTGGACTCATAACATACCCTGAGTGTAGGGAGGTTGCACGATTTACTGCTTGTTCTAGTTCGATGGCAAACTCCGGTAACAAGAGGAAATGTGCGCCGTCAAATTATGTAGCTTATGACAATAAGCCAATTCCGACAAAATGCTCATGTGCTTCGTGAACTGATGAACCACGATTTAAATTTAACACTGCCTCAGAGCACGCGGATATTTATATTATTTACCGCCTAATATTTATTTATTTATTTATAATTGTAACACTTTAAGAGTATTTAAGGATATTTATTAGAAAATTAAATGCTGTTAGCGGTGAATCCGCTAACAAAGGTTCTGATCAGTTATCTTCTCCCGCATAACGTCTTGACCAAGGCAAACTGTCACACTGGTAAAACTAACCCAATGGTTATCTCGCAACATACCCCGAATGTAGAAAATTTGCCTAGTTGCGTTCGACAGAATCGAACGCAGTTGTAATTGGGTAATGGAGGAAAATCGAGTTTTCCTGTATGTATCTTTCTGTGGACACCAATTTGACCCCTCCACTGAAAATTCTTCAGGGGCGAATGTCGTCATCTCCATTTTTGTCCATGAGCTTTCTTTCGAGTGCTGTGCAATATTGCGGACTTGCGAGTGTTGCCGGAGAAAGCTCAGACTGTGGACTGTAGCGGATAAGTTGTTTATTTAAAGTTTAAAGTCAGTGTTAATGGCATTGAAAAACCTTGCAGACGTACATGTCTTCACGAAATGTGTACCCTCTTCTCTTTGACCAAAACCAGCGCTGCTTTTGAAATGTGTACTTTTTACTTCGCTGGCCTAGATTTCTGTGCGCAAAATACGTAGCTTAAACCCAACGAAAGTGTTTACATGGGAAGAGAGTTCAACTCGCACAGGAATACTTTGATACACCGACATGTCCTCCGCTTCATTGTTTCGGAAGTGAAAATGCTCCGATAGCTGTTTCCCCAAAGACAAAGTGATTGAAGTCGTGTTCGTAAACAGAATAATTGTCTTAGTTTTGGTAATAAAAGCCCGCATACCGACGGAACAGGCATCGTTTGTGTCAATTTACACAGTTCAGAATGGTAGGTTTCCAGTCGGTATAAAACATGGACTGCGAAATGCGGTCTGCGGACTGCGGACTGCGGAATGCGGCCTACCGATGCTTTACCTACCAATCCAAAATGGCCGGTGATAGTTCCGTGATGAGTAGTGTGGACGGAAAACATTTGATGCATTTGCAGACATTTTCAGAGTGAAAACTCCGTTTTCAAATTTCTCCGGCGAAGTGTGGACGGAGCCTAAATCAATAAGCCGTTGCTTCTGAATTCATCTTTGTTTGCGTGTAATTACCGTATATCCTCGAATTAGCGCCTCCCCTCGATAAGCACCCCTCCCCTCCCCCTGTTACTGAGACAACAAAGGATGTATAGTTTTGGCGTGCTCAATCACAAGTGACAAGAGATTATGATTATAGATTCATTCAAGCACTGCACATTGACCATCGCAACGGATGGAAGTGAAGATCTGCTGATTCATTGGCTAAAGCCTAACCAACCTTGTGCAGCATGCCTAGACCGGCTAAATGGGTTATTTCTCGTAGTTCTTTAAGAGAGACAGGATCCTTCTGAGACTTCTGAGAGACTGACTCATGATACATATATTACAAAAAACCGATCATATATGACCACGATTTAGGAAAAATTAGATACGCGCCTCTTCCCCTCAATTAAGCACCTCCCGCGAATGACCGAGTCTTCTCCCAAATTTGAAATAAGTGCCCTGGGTACTAATTCAAGGATTTACAGTAAATAGAAGAAAGCAATCCTAGCATCAGCTGGTTTGTTCAACAGGCCAGACTTATAACATCATCGCCTGATTAACACTATCCACTTGACTCTGAAGATCAGTTCTGCTCATTTCAGAACTACCCTCACCCAAACGATCACACAAGAAAAACTCGTGATACTCCTGGGTTCAAACCATTTACTATTTAAGGTAACTGTTATAGTAAAACTGTTAGGTTTAGTGGAATGAAAGAGTTTTACAGGGTGCAATCTGTGTGAACATGAAACTTGATCCCAAACCTGCAATCTGTTATTGTGAGCTAACCACTGTTGAGTCACTGGTATTTACATGTAGGCTAAAGTGAGCTCTACTGCAGTGCCACTTCACCATTTCATGTTTTAAGAACACCCTAGCAGGTGTTAGGACACCCAGTAGAACAACTCTCTAGATCTTCAAGTGTCTCAAGCATTGTTGCCACAGTAAGGTCAAGGTACCCACAGAGAGCAACAATAACTTCATTCCGTTTCTTTACTTGGGTTATACTTCTCATAGATGAAGGAATTCATAGACCTCTCCAGGATATAAAATTCTCAGAACCAGTAGAACTTACTAGAAATTTTGAACTGTAAATGGTTGAAAATATGCTTTGCAAGCAACTGAATTATTAAGAATGTATTAAGTGTTGTGGGAGAGGTTTCAAAAGCAATTTTATTCTTCTTTATTTTTTCCTAAGATGCACACAAAATTCCAAAAGTTTTCTAGGAGAAGGGGCAAAAAAGGAATATTTATTTTCAAGGAACACTCAGGTATCCTAGAAGATAATTCTAAAATTCCAGGTATTTTCCAGGAATTCCAAGAATAATTTTTTTGTATATTATTTATTCCAAGAATAATGCAAACCACATTGAAAATAAGAAATGATTATTAAAAAAAAACAAACAAAATTATTTTAAACCTTGCACAGGAGCACTTTTTGGGAAGCTGTCTAATATTGACAGGTTGTCAGCGGTATTGTGACGCAACTGATAAAAATCTGTCTGTGTTTACAGGCTGTTCATTTAGGAACCATCAAACAAATATTATTGTGAAACAACAAAACACATTTCTACTGCTTATCTCAAAATAGTAGGATTTTAATACAAATACAAATGGAGAACTCATGAATACCCTTCACCAGCAGGAAATTAGCATTTCGCTCTCAACTGCACAATGGATCAAAAAAGGACATTGAGTTATCAAAAAAACATTCATGTAAAGCGTAATTCAGTTAGTATATTGTCATCATTATTGCATCAAGGAAAATATACCGAGTTTAATGGCCACTTTTTAACAGAAATTTGCCATCAATAAGCTCAGCTTTCAACTGGACAACTATCATTTTGGGCACGTCTTGGAAACTTTTACCGAGAAAGGGACAAACCAGTGCAAAGCCATAAGCGCATTGTACAAATCACCTGCACCCTACTAATGACTACTTTTTACAGGGGAAAACAGTACAAAGATAATTAGAAACTTAGCCTTTGGTTTATCTCTAGCTTCCTAAGAGAATAATCTTTGTCAGCAAAGAATAATCTACAAAAAAATATATACCACAGGTGTGGAGATTTCCAAAACAAAAAGGTAATGTGGTATTAATTATTTGAATTTTTTCCATCAGTTGCTAAACTATTCTATATCTGATATTCTCTTTCTCAAGAAAAAAAAATCTGACCAGCTCAATTGACACCCTTTTAGGCACAAATCGTTTTCCCTATTGTTTACTCTTACAATGTGTACTCTTAGGTAAATATGACCTCCAGTGATGCGCCAATGAAAAACATCTTGGCATCGCTTTCCGAAATCACAAATGCAACGATTTTAAACGCCTTTTCATGGCCAAAAAATACACGTTACCAATCGAAAAATTTGTCTCACAACACTAACCCTATTGCAACTTATTTTTAATTGAAGAATTATATATTTGAAGTCGATCCGAAGTGTTGTTTACAGTAGTATCCACCTGAGAATTTTTCTGTTATCTGTAAAAAGATTTCCAACCATAACACACGCGGTTACGTTTTTTGACAGACTGAAAAACAAAAATGGCTTTTTGTGGCTCGCAGGCCGGGGACTGCTGCAGTGTCAGGACTGAACATTTCTAAACGAATTTATCAGATTAGTAAGTTCCTTAGTTTAGTTTTAAAATATTCACCTAAATATCGTTACCGTATTTCGGGCATTATTTCAACAATCTTCCGTTAATTCAGAGCAATGTCTCTAGATGTTGCTGCAAAATGGTAGCAGTTACAAAACGAAAACACTAACCAGCGTTACAAAATGGATAAAATTGTAAACAAAACTGACCCGAGGCGAAAGCAGAGGGTACATTTTTCCTAACATAGCAAAGACCCCAGTGCGACAAGCATTAATAGAGCAATTTGCGCGAAAGCCGCCTGAATACAACAATGAAAAGGGCAAACGATTACCATTTCGAATAAAAAACAATTTTCGCTTCAAATATAGCACGTTCTGAATACCCCTGGGTATTTAAAACGTGCAAAAGAATAGGAAAATGTTTTCTCGAATAGCGCGGCGTAATCTTACCTTTCAAAGGAGGCAATTTCACTATCTCTCGATTGTCGCTCACATTGAAAGACGACGAACTTTGCCGCTTCTCCTTCCTCATAATTGACGGTCCATTTGCATATTGCCTGAGCTTCACTGCTTGACTCGGAGGATGAGAAACAGGCTGAGACTTTGGCTTTGCCTGCACAAGGAAAATCACACAGAAAAATCAATCAGTCAACACCCATCCCAATAAACAATATCGTGATCTTGGTGTGATTCACTCAGGCTACGAAAGGATTTCTCGGCTCAAACACGAAATTTCCACCTTACCTCGTCACTGACAGCGTCTCCATTTTCTTTATTCGCTTGTTTAGCATTTCCCCCACTTTTGGAAGCCTGGTATTTGACAAGAGAAACAAAAAGAGAGCGTGTACGGTCGAACAACCGATCTGTCACAATTGCCAAGTTGTGCTCACAACCGTGTTCAAGGCACTTGCGGCAAAAATGAACAAAACACACGACGCCTGATACATTACCTTCTCTTTCTTCCCTTTATTTGGCATTCTCGTGATCCATTTAGCTAGTGTCAACGGAAAACAGAGACGACATGCCCATTTTTTGCAGCTACGAACGTCGACAGGCTGTGAACATCGATATTATGCAGTTCTCTTCAGAGCAACTGAAAACTGTTTGTTGATTGGTCGATATTTTCTATGGCATTCAACTTATCACGTGGTCTTTCCTTTGATGAAAGCGCGGGAATAGTTGCGTTCGTCGAAGAGAAATTTCTGACTTCTGCTGCCATTTCACGCACCCATTTTCTCCACCGTGTATTAAATAAGTTTGATTTTTCCTCTACCAGCTGCAACTCAGGCTATTTTATTGCAGTTTTGATGATTTCATTTATTTATTTTTATTTTTGTGTTCATTTCATTCCCAGCGCCTTCGTGGTTGTGGCATTTGCTTAGTTAGACTAGAAACCTGTTCCGTGACTCTTTGACCATGCTGCTATTTTTAATGTATCCGCTAAGCACATGACGAAATAAAATCACGTAAATTCGCATGGGTCAAACACCTAAATTGATTACAAATCCTTATATCTCAAGACGTTGTATAAAAGTAGTATCTATAAATAGAAAACAAACTGCGGTCACAAACATGACAAAACAACGCATGTTGTAAAAACCTTGATTTAAGAACTTAACGTTTCGTATGCTTCTACATGCATTATCAGAAGTATAAAAACGGTAGCTGCTAATGCAGCTACCGTTGTTTTGTCATGTTTGTGACCGCAGTTTGTTTTCTATTTTTACTCAAGCTGAAATGGCCGAAGAATAAGAGGTTCTACGATTTGTCTAGATCTGTTCAGTACGCCAATGGCTCTAAAAACGTGCTCAGGCTAAATATGCAATTACAGCGTTCAATTCC